AAAAAAAAAAAGTTATCAAATACCCAAACTTTGAAAAATCATAACTAATTCTAGAAAATTCCAAATTTAGTAAACTAAATGGAATTAAAGTCCAATTAAAATCTAGAATTATTAAAACAATGAATATTCTTGAAATTAGCCTAAATAAAAAAAGGTTAACTCCTTGGTCAATCATAGTTCAATAACTATTTCCGAACTACTAAAAAAATCATACCTTTGTGTAGAAAACATAATCAAGTAAACTCAAAATCTAATTACTCCCCAAAGGGTCTAATATTTAATAAAAATACTAAGACTCCAGAACTTAGTTAGATTCTAAAAGTCAAATTTTGACCCTTTTATTTAGTGATAAGATAACTCCGGGCATTCCAAAATTTACTAATTCTACTTAAATTTCAGAGAATATTATCCTAAGAGTTAAAATTGACCCATCAACTAAATTAATTAAAAAATGACCTCAAGACACAAATATTTAAACTTTAATTAAAATTCCCTTTTGACCTTCAATAAATAAAATCACAAAGAATTTAAACTAATTATCCAACATAAGACATACTTAAGATCACACAACCTGCTACACACATATAAACACGACTTCAAGCTTTAAGTTAGGCTGATATTTTAAATCTATCTATTTTTGTGATGTGGTAATTTGAATGTGATACGTGTGTTGCTTATTTTAGCTTTCTATGATGTTATCAGTGATGTGATTTTAATTACAATATTATCTTTATGATTTGATGGGCGATATATTACCCATAGGTTAAAAGCAATTTTTATACTTATGATACTTTCTATAGGTGGTCATGCTCATACAACATTAAAATGGAGGCTAAAATGAATAAATTGTATATAATTATTACTGAAAGTTTGAGTAGGTTGTTGGACTTAATAAAACTGTCCCAGGCTAACCAAGAGGAGGGTGAATTAGTAATTTAAAAATTCTCTTAGATTTTAGAAAATTGTTGTAAGGATTTTTACTCAATAATAGATTTTCATAAAATATTTTTTAACCATAGAAATTTAAAGTGCAAAAAATAAAAATGCAAAAAAAGTAAAAAAAAAGAAGAACACAAAATTTTATAGAGGTTTGGTCCAGCAAGACCTATGTCCACTCTGTGAAGACTCCTTCTTCAGGTATTACGGTAAATCAAAAGTGAATCTTATTTTGGACCCACAGAAAGGCGGAGAAGCCCTTACAAAATACAGCCACCCACCCATCTTTCATAATGACTAGACAACATAGATTTTATACTATTAAGTGATTAACTTGCTTTCCTTTTGAAGCAGGATATAAATCCATAATACATAAGCTAGGACACAGATGTTAGTATTGTGTGTAGACTAAATGAACTATAGATTTAGAGTTTAAGGCTACTACTATCAATATCCAGTAGTATGCCTCATCAGCGGGTACGTCTTATATCCTTTAGAGGCTATAAATCCTACCTATTTACATCACATGGATGACACTACCTCCATCTTTCTCTCTTGTATGCTCAGAGTGCAGTGCTATCTTTCTCCAGTTTTTTTTCTTTACCTTAGCCCTTCTGAATGGTGATATGAGCCGTGCATGTTGACCAAGCTAAGTTGAGCCTTTCCTCTCCTCTAAATAGGAAGCTTTTAGAATCATCCCTATATGACAATGACATCTGAGAGAATAATGTGTAGTCCTTAATAGAAAGTATTCTTAGGTCTCAGCTTATGATATAATTAACCATAGGGGCTTGCGCCCGTGGGAAACTAAATCCCACATTAAATAAACCCAACTCTAGCTGATGTATTGAATGGGAAAAATCATGTGACTTTGATCAAGTTATTTATATCATTTCCCAAATTGGTACATAGGTGAAAGCTTCTATCCTCAATGGTTAATCATATGTATGGTCTCATCTATCCTTTCATTAGCCCTCTTGAAAAAAGTACAAATGCCTATGACTATTTTATCCTACGGGATAGTGCAATCATACGCTTTGAATTCTATCCCCACTGAGCGGTGTCCTTTTGGAGGTCCATAAAATTTTGGTGACCACGATGGGATAGGTTTCTCTCTCTATCTTCGGATTCTATATTATTCTCTCTTATGTGTACTCCAAGTTTGGTACTCAGTTTTTTTTTTTAGGGGAAGCCCATCGAGGGGCCTACACGTCAATATAGAAAAAATATTATAGAGTCCTCAAAAGGCCCACAAGCTCACTATGCCTGAAAGAGCTACAAAAAGATAATAAAATAAACCTACGAGCTCGAGGTCCCTACTAGCAAAAAGTATATAATAACCTAGGTACATGCTATGGTGCACAAAAATGATCACCCAAAAAAGATTAGAGAACCAAAAAATAGTGCCCTGATCAAGGTTCCCTTCCAAGATAATATTATTACACTCACCTGCATAATAGGAATTCTGCAAAAGAGAATAATGCAAAGAAAATACATAGCAAAAATATAAATACATACTAACCGTAGGGAGATTCCAACAATTATAATTCGAACAAAATCTAAAAAATTCCATATATATATATATATAGTACTCAATATCAGGATGATACCCATCTAACAACACATCAACACAACCAAACAATAATAGTAATGATATCAGATGTAGTCATAGTCCAAACCAAAGTCAGTTAATAGTCGGGGCTCAATAATAAGGCAATATGAACCTAACACAAGATGGCAAAAATATAGGAAGACAACATGAGGAAAGCATAAGACACCCAATACCAAAACCCAACTAGCATAAGGACTACACCACTCAGTAAGGCACCAGAACATCACAGCCATAATAAACAACAGAGAATTCAAATACTTAAAGGTAGGTAATTGAGAAAACTAACTAACAATATCCCTAAGATAAAAAGGGCAGAGAAACCGAACCAACATACTCAACCCCAAATAAATAAAAGCCAAGAAAATTAAATTAAAGCAAATTTAGGAAAATAGCCCTAGCACAGGCCCCACCAAACCCAAAGGCGATAAGACCAAATACTAGAACCAGCACAACTAGAGAAAAATATACCCATAGGAAGAATAACCCACTAAATACGTCCACCACAAGTAAACACCAAATATCACCAAAAAACAAAACATATGGGAAGAAACAACCTAGATAAGGAAAACTTCCATCTGATCCAAAACCAAGCAACTAAACAAATCAAACAAAGAGTCACATTGCTAAAGAACAAGTCATGAATGACAGCACATACGTAAAAAATAAAACACGGAAGACAAACCCCCCAAAAGCCACCATAGTAACACAAAAACCCAAAAATTTTGCT